TCGTACACATACTGGTTGAAATTTGACTATCAACTTTATGTCTTTTCTATAAACGGTTCTAGAAAATATAAAAATTTTCTAAACTAATGGTACTGGAGAAAGAAACACATTATACATACCATGTGGAGTTGATATAAATGCATCACTATCTACATTCATATCACATGGCCGTTTGGAACTAAAACTAGCAGATGATTCAAAATCATAATGTGAGTATAATAATTCATTTGCAGATGTTATGATTTCAGCTGGCGTTGGTGGTGTTGATACAGTTGCAAATGTAGAATTATCTGTGCTTGTACTCTCCGTCGTATCTGTACTAGAAGGAACAGTACGAGCTGTAAAAAAAATTATATGACAAAAGTAAACAGACTGATTAACAAAGGCAATATTTCAGAATTTGATGATTTTTTTCCAGACAAACGAATTTCATATCGTGCCGCTTTTCAGTACTGTCTGATTTTCTTATTTTCTTTCTTTTTAGTGTTTTGCTCCTTCTGTACGCATACATAGATAAACGGAAGGCGAGAGAAGAAGAAATTTTATTTTCATGCAAACATTCATCTATGAAGGATACCACTCACTATGAAATTACTCAATATTCTGTCAACTTAAGTCAATATAACATTCTCTTTTCTTTCTTTCGGTTACGATGAGAGAAAGGGACCGTTTAGTAACAATGGTAGCCAACGTCTTACCCAAACAGAAGAACAGCCAACAACATCAACAACATATTGCAGGTACATAAAAACGAAGCGCAAAACATTAAAGAAAGTAAAAAGTCATTGAAAGAATGGCTGCAAAATCTTCGAATGATCAGAATAAAACAAATCAACGTTATTTTGATGTTGCCAATGAAACTGGAAAAATGTTATTGCCAATCGAAGGTTACCAGAATGTTGATTTAGTTCCATTAGAAGAAGCCATTGAACCGTTAATTCATCTTGTAGCTGACATACGTCGAAAAGCATGGGTGGCGAAAGAAACTTGTCAAACACCGTTTCCTGATGACTTAAGCCACGATGAATCAGCTGCTATTATACTATACACAATGGAATGGTCACCCCACGATCGCTGCCTTTATGTTGTACTCAACGAAGCACTCCGTTCAAGAAACCGTCTCCAGCGATTACCACCGTGGTTTCTGTATCTGAAACTCTTTTTAACAGCATTAATAAAACTACCATCAGAACGACGAGTCATATGGCGTGGTGTCAAAATGGACTTGAGTCAGCAGTATTTGACGGAATCAACATTGGTCTGGTGGGGTTTTAGTTCATGTACAACCACATTAGAAGTATTAAAATCAGAACAATTTTTAGGAGAAACAGGTACACGTACATTATTTAATATAGAGTCCAGCAATGGAAAGCTGATACAGCCTCATTCGTATATACAATCAGAAGATGAAATTTTATTATTACCAGGGACACAATTTAAAGTTGTCGGAAAACTACAGCCTGCACCAGGTCTGCACATCATTCACTTGAAGGAAGTACAACCACCATTTACGTTACTTGAACCACCATCCGTCGTTCCATCAACAATACCTCCGTCTCATAATACTCCAGCTGCGACTAAACCACAAGCTGCTTCATTACCAGAAGTGACAGCGGTAACAAATGATTTAAGTAGTGTGCAAATAACGGAAGCAAAACAACAAAAACACTCAAATCAACTATTCATTGGTGGAACACTGTTAGATGCCATACACCAACTAACACTCAACGAATTCTACGGGACAAAACATCAAGCATGGACCTTAATATACAAAGCTACGAGACACGGCTTTTCTGCCACCGACTTTCATCGTCAGTGCGATGAGCAAGGTCCAACGATGACAATTATTCAATCAAACGAAGAAGGCTATCTCTTTGGTGGTTATACAGCTGTCCCGTGGACCTCACAAACACATTCTAGAAAAGACACAACCGCATTTCTTTTCAGTCTCACAAACCCACAGCATCATCCAAGTACAAAGTTTAACATTACCGATCAAAATACTGATTTTGCTGTAGGTCATCACTGGGATGCAGGACCAATATTCGGTACCAGAAAGCCCATTATCACGTCACGTTTTTACTCACATGATTCCGTGACCATACTCATCTTATGTTTCCGCGTATTCCTTCTTCCACAATAACAACGTGATCTCCCTTGTAATAAACGAACTTTCATTTCCTGGTCTTCTTCTTCCTGGTGGTTATGATCCTCCTTATTATGGTGCTGATATTGGTGTTTGTGAACAAAGCGATGTGAATATTAGTTGTATTAACTTCCCTAGTAGGTATAGCGATAAACTCGGTTTTAGGGAGGTCACGTTTACGGGATCTCGAACTTTTAAAGTTGAGGATATTGAAATCTATTGTCCAGTAAATCTTTAAGGTTACAATAGAGGAATTTTTCTCGTCGAAGTTAAGGTGAATTATCGATTGGTGGGAATAAGATGGCGATGAGTTATGACAATGTGCGATTTGTAATATTTTTATAAACTAAGCATGAAGTTATAACGGAAACTGGAGAAAGAGATTTGTACGTGTACAGTAGAAAGAGAAACGAAGAAGAAAAGTTTTGGAAAAATAAGAAAAGAAGCAAAATATAATGTAACTGTAGTGAAGAAGAGGTCCGAATCTGTGAAGATTCAGTACGTATCCTAAAAAGGCGTATTAGATAACCCGAAATGCTGGAGTAGGTAAAGTTTTAGTGAATGTTTAACGTTGATTGTAGATATGCGATTGTAATGAGGTATTATGGAAGTAATGACATATGAAATAAAGGAGGATCATCGTATTTACAGAAAGACGCAGAGCACGTTAACTAGTTTATGGAAGAGAGGAGAGAGTCAAAGAAGGACGGGTGCATTAACGGACGAAGAGTGTGAGACAAAATCATCATATAAAATGGCAGAATATTCAAAATTCTTTCGACAGACACAAATCCTTATCGTCTATTAACCCTTTGGGTCCGGACGACGAGAATTCTCGTCCTAAGACTTTATACACGAAGTACTCTCGAAAATCATGATCTTTTAGTCATTTAATGTTATGGATTGTATGAATATTTGTGTTAACAATGTTCGTGCGCTTGAGATCATTC